AATACACATATTTATTACTGACAATCAAATTCATAAATTGAGAAACTTATAAATTGGAAAGTCTTAATTAAAGAATGAAATTAAAAAGGAGAAAATTGCTCCCCTGAGTTTCTTCTTTGCTCGTTAATGGCGCCAGAAACAGAGCCTTGCAAAGTGCCTGCTAAGCTCAGCAACCGTCCGTCCAATCCTCCGTCTATGCAGTCGCCGGAATCCATGGCCGAATTCGTCGTCTTCGGAATCCATGGCCGGACCTAGGGCCGAAACCCTAGGTCGGCTTCTCTTCTGCTCTCGCGTGTTCTCCTCCGCTACTGCCTCCGGTCCCCCCTTTTTCCCTGATTGAAGTCCCCAATTTATAGAATTGGAATGAGAATTTGAGTTGGAGAAGAAGACTCTCCGTTTCTTCCGCTTGACTCTCTCTCTGCGGTGTTATCTACGGAGCATGTGTTTCATTTGTTGCTTTTATCACTTTTGATATTCCTTCTCATCTTGATTGGGCAAGTGGGTATTAAGGTAGAAATGACTTGGATAAGAATTGGCCCAAAGTGGGATTTGGGCTAAATACTTTATCTCTTAAATTTTATTCTCAAAGCTCTAATAGTCCAAATTGTTGTCTTCCTTCACTTTGTGTCCTAAAATATATTTAATAATTAATATGTCAAGGGAAATAAAGCTTCGAGATAATTTTAGAATATAAATATGCTTAAAATTATGCATTTTATGTATAAAATGTAAACAATGACCAAAAATCCTAAATATTAGAAAATATGCTCATTTAGGTATAAAATGTTCATTAAATATCTTAAAAGTATTAAAAAATGAGGGAATAAAATACGACATTTTGTGACTCAACACCAACCCCGCCGTAAGTCCCACCGCCCCCCCCCCCACACAAAATGTGTGGCGTTTATGCAATGCATAATAGCCACACATTTTGTGGGGGCTTACAGCGGGGTTGGGGTGGGGGTGCAGGGGCGGTGGTAGGGTGGGGGGTTTAGGGAATGGGTTAGGGGGGGTAGGAACCGTTAATTTTACGAACGGAGCACTGGAAGTTCCCCAAAATGACTGTGGTACCAGAGTGTCACCGTACTTCGATGTCACTCGAACCCCACCGTTCTTAAAATCAAACTTATTACTCCGTAAAAAGTGATTTTTAAAATCAAATGAGAACAATCTTTATCCCTAAACTCAAAAAATCTAGAAACATAGACTCAAGACCTAAATTTATAAATAGAAAATGTAAAGATTTTAAATCCCTAAATCTAAAATAATTCAAAAAACAAGCCTTAATTGAAATAAGAAGATGAAGAAAATACCTATTAATGAGACCATGATGAGAGAGACGAGAACATTGCTCAATATCGCATCACTCATTGTAACACCCTAATCCGTTCAGGTCTGCAGCCCCTTTCAGACCAAAGTATAAACTTGGTAATAGTAAAATTTAAAACTTTTCAAACACTTTTATTTATCATAACAATATTTTTCATAACATAAACAGTTCAGAGTTTTCAATATTGCGGAAGTTTAACAAATCATAATCACAAACATAATTTATATATGCTCTTCAATTCAAAATCATCACATCCATTCCGACAATCTCGCCTCCGTCTGCTTTCCAGGATCACGTCACATCATTCTTTCTATTAACCTGCGTGTAGCAAATAAAACATACTACACGCTCAACGTTAAAGCTGAGTAAGCATATCTAATGCGCCGAACATCCATATAAATTGAATCTCAATTCATAATCAAATCATTTGATATCATGCACATAATGTTCAGTTCAGATATTCAAGAATCAATATTCAATAGTCTTCATTCAATATTCAACATTCATATTCAACGTTCAACAATATCCTTAAAGTATTTTTAGTCTAGGCCAATCTCTTATAATGTTTATCAACTCTTAAAGGAATTCTAGTTTAATGTTCTTAAACTATATTCCAGTTTAAGGTACTCCTAACTAATCCTTAAGCTAGGCCTAGTTTAAGATACAAATTTTCAAAAGAGATTTTCAAAATCTTAAACTTACCTTCGCTTAAGGTCAACCAGAAACTGAACTGCGGAATGCTCACTATCGGGTTGGGTGGTATCCCCAAACGAGTGATCCTCAAGTTTGGTTTGTAGATCTCATACGTACGTTTTAACCCGGGCCACCGAATATTCATAATTATACCCTGCAAGTCCTATTTCTAATCTATCTTAGAGGTCTTCTAGATAGTATTAGAAACTAAAATTAATATGAATATATCTTAGATTTCTTTTAGATATCCTTAATAGTCATCATTAATTTTCAAATGGATATATCCTAGAGTTCTAGATATCCTTAACAGTACAAATCATTTCATAATCATCAATCTGTTCATTTTAATCACAATTTTCGGAAATGTCATTTTTAGTCACCAAATTTCAATTAAACTATATAGAAATGTTCTCCAAGGTTCATAGATCATTTTGGTATCATTAGTTTGTAGTTTTAACAACAATTACAAGTTTTATGATTATTAGTTCTTCAAAAAAGTCAAACACAAAACTCAACCAAAAGACCGTTTATGAACGTAGAAATGATCTATACGAACATTCTAGTCACTGGATATATCTACGAGCTTACCTCGAAGCTTAACAAAGGTTTTGAGAATTTTCCGGCGACGATAACTCTCCGCTCCGGCAACTTCGCACCAAATTGACAACACCACAATACTCCTCACGCTTAGCTCTCGCTTTTGGAAGAACAATAGTGAAGAATGGTGAAGGTTGGAGAGGTTTATATAGTGGAGAGGAGAGGAAGAAACCATGGGTGATGATGTCTCGATTACTGTTTTGGCGTCTCAGTGGAGCGGGCTACTGACTTCCTCCATTTCTAAACGCAAGTCCCTGATTGGGATTAATTTGGTCCCAGTCGGGGTATACTTTTTGGTCCAACTTTCTCCGAATTGAAATCTGTTTGCACCGTTGCAATCGGACAGTTAAACTCTATCCGACGATATAATTTTTATATTTATTTGTAATAATTTTTCCGACATCATATTTTTGGGTGTGTGACTTTGACAGAGTCAAATTTGATTCAATTGACCTTTACTCAAAAAGGTTCTCTCATCCAATTCATATTATTTATTCTCATGATTTATTTCAATAATTCCTTTCAAAGTTCACATTATAAACAAATTCTTCATTTATTCTTAATTTGGGTCTGTACTCAGGTTCCCAATCAAGATCACACAACAAGTCAACATATTGGATTTATCTCTATGAGACTTATCCAGATTGTGATATTGGATATCAAATTTCATTTCGGCCCAAAGCCCAACAATTATTTATTTTTAATCAAAACAAATTTAATTAATTGAATAATAATTCAATAAATTTTAGGGTATGTTTTGAGACGTTACACTCCTCTTTCTTCTTCTCTTCTCTTGTCGCCAATTTTGTAGCCGTCATCGCATAGTAAAACGACCCGATGAGAGGCTTAAGTCGTGATTGCTAAAGCTTAGGAAAAAAAGGTTGAGATTAAATAGGAGTTTATGAGGCGGACTTTTAAATCGTGGGAAAAGTATCGGTAAATTTGTTTACTTGCTCTAAATGAAGTTTTGGACACAACTCGAGATTTTTACACATTAGACAATGAAACGAAAAAATGTGATATCTAAAGTGTGCTGGGAAAAGCTCTTTCTGTAGTAGTGAAACGCACTCAAGTTTAAAGAAAGAGTGGATATTGATGCTGAAGAGCTTTATATGGAGTTGAAATTATTTGACACATTACAAATCAGTGAATTTAGAAACTCCATAGATGTTTTGAAGTATTTAAAAGAACTTGGTTGTTTCCAAAATGTCTGCGTTTCATATAGAATTTAGTTGACTGTTCTAGTAACGGTGGCACCTGCAGAGAGAAGTTTTTCCAAATTGAAGCTCCTGAAATCTTACTTATGGTCCACAATGTCCTAAGAAAGACTTAGCAGATTGACGATAATAGCTATCGAGAATGAAATATTAGAGAGCATAGACTATGCAGATGTGATCAACCAATTTGCTCTCAAGAATGCAAGGAGAACTTCTCGAATCCTTAGCTAGCTTTTAGGGTATGTAATTATAATACAATGATTTTGTCATTTACTTATTTTCTTATAATGCTATTGCATTAATTATCATTTAAATATAATTAGTTTACATATGTTAATTTGTTAGACCATAAGGAATAAGATTTTTAGGGCCTTTTTTTGTGTCGATCCAGGCCATTTAATTTTTAAGAGCGGCCCTGAGTATAGTATCTATTCAATCATATAATCTCAACCTCTTAAGTGTAGGGTGGTCGGGCG